GTCACCTGGGACCGTGTTAAAAAGACACATTATCTGGCTGCACCCCACACCTGAGGCACTCCTGACTGGGGCCCAGCAACCTGTGTTTCAAGAATTCCCCTCTGTTATGCGGATGCTGAAATGCTTGAGAATCACACACCAACTTGGCCTCAGGGCAGCTCTGCAAACTGTGGTGTCTATCAGCCCCAGGCTGTGACGCAGTGGCCCTGGCCCTGGCCCAGTTTGGAGGGTGGGGTTTGGGTTCACAGTGACCTGACAAGGCTCCCCCATTGCAGTCATTACTCTTTAGCGGCACTTCTGCTTAACCATGGTCCCTTCCCTCCCTTCTGCTAGCCATGTCCTCTTCCTGGGCGCAGAGTCATGTCATCTTCAGCCTTCTGTCCTTGGTACCTGGAAGCAAGTCTGGCACACAACACTTGTGTATTACATGTCTCGTCAATGTCATGGTTCCTACCCAGCCTCCTGACATCTAGCCTTGTGTTGCTGATACTACCCGCACAATTTGCCTTACAATTTCATCTTGTGGGTCTAGGCATGGCTGTCCCTAAATTTCCTAGTGCGTGATGCCTGGTGGTAAAAATCCCTTTACTTTGTAGTGAGAGAGAAGAATCTAAAGAAAAAGTTTCTGTGGGAATGGGAAGGGCCGTCAACATTCCCAGATGGCTGCTGTCAGATAATCGTCTGAGATCAGGTTGTAGCAGGAGGCAAACTGGGCTTCGGGGGTCGAGACGATTAAAGAGAGCGTCAGAAAATGATCTAAGCAGACTTAAGGGTCCACCTCAACGTGTTGTGGTCAGCCTGGAATTTGTTACCAAAGCACAAGACAAATCACAGAAAGATAAAATGACCATCTTAGTCTTAATCAGACCACACTGATTTGATTTTAGAAAGATTTTGACACCTGCTGAGTCTCCAGGTGGAGTTAAAGTCAGCACCTCCGGAGAGATAGAGAGAGAGAGAACTCCCCTTGCCTGGGTGCTGGGTGGAGATAATCCTAAACAAATATTGGTTGTCCCTAGGTCCACATGGCGAGCCAGGGTGATGTGTAAGCCTGACTCCATCAGTAAAGTTGGTTTCCGAGGGCCTTTCTGGTTCTAACACTCCATGGCTCTGTACTTCTCCAGGCTGGGGGCCACAGCCTTTCCCCCAGAACTCCTTTTATTTGGTTCTCTGGGCAGAGTGACAGCGAGCCTGGCTCCAGAAACAGCTGGACAGGCAGATTTTGATGCAGAGGAGAGAAGGCCTCGGGAGGCATGGTCCACACACAGCCCCTCCTGAAGACCTCCGAGAAGGACCACTCTCAGGGTCACCTCCTGAGGTCAGGGAAGCTTTTCCCTGCACTTGGCCAGGTCTTGTTCCCTCAAAGTGCTTAATGGATTACTTAGTTCCTTGTCAAACTGTTGTGGGGATTAATTAGTTAGCTAATACCCAGGGGCTCTCAACCAGTCCTCTGTGTCTGTTTATTTTTTTATTGACCTACCCTAGAGGTTCTGTTTCTTTTTTTCTTCTCATTTCTAGAAGTCTTCTCATTTCTAGAAATCTTATCAATTTGGGATATTGCTTAATGCAGCATTTTTGTGGGGAGAAGAGGAAACGCAGGACTGCAGCTTGGAGATTCCCAGTTCATATAAATGCAGGACATCTGCCCTCTCTCATGCACACCGAAATAATGATTTGCAAAGGCATTCCTGGCACCCCCATCCCTCTAGATGGTAATAAGAGTTCTGCAGATGTCACCAGGTTCTAACCTGGACAGAGTAGCTGCTGTGGGCCTGGAGAGACAGGACAGGCAGCTACTGACTTCCTTATCTTTATACTCCCATTGGCACAGTGCAGCCTAGAGTGTTGGCTTGAGAATCAGAATGCCTGGGCGCGAAGGTTACCTCCGTCATCTGCAGGCTGTGTGACCCTGGGTACCTTACACAACCTCTCTGAGCTGCATTTCTTTATCAGTTGGAATTCTATTATTTGCCTTAGAATTATAGAGGCTTAATTAGATGACAAGGAATTATTTGGACTAGATTAAGCGCTCAGCCAATGGTAGCTATTCATAAATGTCATAGCCCTCGGAGGCGGGCCGGGGATTTGCACTGGACAATTGTGGCTCCTGCACGTGGTGGTCAGACTCAGCTTTCCTCGCAAGCTGGGACTATTCATGTCCCTTTTGGCACTAGGGAGAGAGTTACATAGAGGGCCCAGCTCCCCTTACCCCTTGCCAGGCCCATGCTAGTGTTTGTGGGACCCAGAGGATGAGTACCGTGACCTGGCCCTCGTTTTTCCCAACCCCGGGCTCCATCTCTCACTGGGGACCTTGTGTGTACGGTTCCCAGTGTACAGAACCCCTGCCCCACTGTTCAGCCCTCGCAGTACTCAGGCCAGCAGCTCAGTGTATTCTCAGGAAGACAGGCCAGATGCAGAGGCCTGGGCAGGCCCCAGCATGCATTGAGGCATAGAAGTTGGGGTCCTAGGCAGCCAGAGTGTTGTCTAAAAGAGGGGTGTGGGCTCTGGGGAGGCCTGTCCCTTTGGCTCTGCAGACTTCTCACCCCATGTAAAGGAGCACGGCCTGAGGAGGGAGAGAGGGGAGCCCTTTAAAGCATGGGGTCCCCAGTTCCCCAGTCTAAAGGCAGTATTGGATGTAATCAATGGCTGTGGTCAGAGTCCTACAATCATCATCCTTCTAGAAGGACCATGTTACTGACCATCCATCAGCAGCACAATTGCTTCTGGTGGTGATTCTAGTACTGGAATCGACTTCCCTGGGCTACAGCCTAGGCTGTGGACACCTTATAACTAAGGGTAGGACAATCAGACAGGGCCAGGGAGTGTACAGGGACTCTAGAACCAAACCTGGATGCCTGGTCTCATTAGCCCTGGGTCCTACCCCAGTGGGCTAGCTCAGACCCAGGACAGGCCCAGGGCCAGGGTCTCATTTGTAAAAAGCTGCAACTGAGCCAGACTGCTGTCCTGCAGAGATGGCTAACGACAGTGGGAAGATTGTGGGGTACGGAACCAGAAGACCTGGGTGGAGTCCCAGTTCTGTCATTCACTCACTGCATGACCTTGGGCAAGTCACCTTACACTTCTGGTGCCCAGTGGGAGGATCCCCCGCCCCCACAGAGGAAGACTGAGCAGATTGAATGAGACATGTTGTGAAACAGGCTTATAAGCTTCTAAGTCCGGGACAAACAGTAGCTGTGGTTATTAATATTTTAGAGGAGGAAGGGCAGCTTGGTGTCAAGATCCCCGCTGAAAGGGTCCCTGGGATAAAGAAGGCATGGACAGTGAAACACGGGGTGGGAGTGGATCGTACCAGCCCTTAAGAGACAGATCTGGGACAGAGCAAGCAATTAAGGAAAAATGGTGGGATTTCTACAGCGGGCCCCAGGCAGCCTTGCCTCCTCCTTGCCTAATGAACCGCCTTGCTGATGGGACCTTGTCTGAAACCCAAACAATGACTGTCTCGTACAGACTTTCTGCTGCCCACAGACAGATCCCCCTGGCTGGGTAGACTGGGGGTATTTTGACACAGTTCACACCTCAAAGAAAGGCAGTAATGCCTCATTACACCCCACAAATACAAGTGCAATTATAGCCAGTATGAATCGGCTCCAGGGAGGGAGTGGAGGTTTAGCACTGAGAACCAAAGCATGAATGAATGAATGAGCAAATGATTGAATGAGTGAATGAAAGCATACAATTAGAGAACTTATGGGCTACACTTAATTCATAGAGGTTCTGTTTCAGAGATCTCATTTCTAGAAATCTTATCAATTTGGGATATTGCTTAATGTAGTTAAGAGCTAATCACTTTTATGCCGGCTGACAAGAATCAGTTTTAATCTCTTGGCTTTTAACCAGATTTGTAATATTAATTGCCAGGGCTGAATGCCCCATTATTTAAATAACCCCGTACTCTGCCTTTGTTATTTCCTGTGACTGATATCTGACTTTTCATTGAAGGGTAAGCACAACCCTGGAGTCAGGCTTCCTATGCCCTAGATCTTGATAAACCGGCCTTCATCTTGTAGCAAACTTGAGATACGATGACAAACTATCATAGATGATTATATTGTCAAAAAGGTGAGCATTCACCATTGCTAGAGTCTAGTCAATCCGGCTTGGGGTATAAGCAAATACCAGTGTGTCTGATGCTAGGTAGATTTGATTTGTTTTTGGTCTACATGATACCAAACAGCTAGATGGATGGATTTCGTCCACTTTGGCGAGTGGATCTAACATTTGATATTTACATACTTGAAGGATCAAGGCCGTCAGTAGTCACTTGTCTTCATAAACCACCCCTCACTGTCCTGGTTATGTGTGAGGGTGCTGTACTGGCCTCTACGCAAGGTGACAGCAACCTCTGGTTCCTCTTCTGCCAGAGCTTACAAGACATTTAGGGAGTGAGGATATAGAACAAAGAATACAGCCAGTCAACAAACACCTCCATTCAAAGTAAAATCGAGCACGGCCCGTTATGCCCCAAATAAGGGGGTAT